ACGCAGCGGCCGAGCGAAAGTAAAAAGCTATACACACAGCGATCGTGTCAATTTCAAGGGGAGAAAATTAGTAGACAATGTGTATCGAGGATGCATAAAATATATACATGCCGCTATACGTAGAGATTCATCGCGTACTCGCCCATCGATGATTCAACGCTGGTTGTTCCGCAACAGGATTATACTCACGTATGCATATATAGGAGGCAATTTCAGGATCGTGTGTGTATATAGCGATCGAGGCAGCGCCGCGCCGTGGTTTTCGCAGGCTCTGATCCGCAGCAGCAGCAGCAGCAGCAGCAGAGAACGAGCTCTCCGCAGCAGCCTGTGTTACGTGCAATATGTACACAGAGAGCGAAAGAGAGAAGCGAGCTACAACGTCGAACCGAGCTCGAGCTTTGATTATATTTCATTCGATCCCTGTACATTACATACCCCGGGTTAATGGAAAAGCGCGGCGAGCAGCACAACGTGCAGTGTGCGCAAACATTGCGATCCTTTTTTTGTTGCCTATCATCGAGTACAGTAGTGCATTGCGTGCGCTCGCGAGAGCGTCGAGTTCAAAGTAGATACACTATATAGATACTGGTGTAGTTTATCAAAGGATGACGCGGGCGCAGAGACACGCTTTGTTTATAAATAAATAAAATTCAAACGACACGCGTGAATATAAGCAGCACTGCACTGAAGCGTCGCGTCCAAGTACATATATACGTATATGGAGGGGACAATGGTTGCGGGTTGCACCGAGACTGTAACAGCAGAAGCAGCAGAAGCAGCAGAGGCGCGAGTGTGAGCTGTTACTGCTGCTTTTATACTGCAGGGAGGGGTAAGAATTTCTCTCTGATTTATGTCGGTATTATTTCAGATGGCGCATTCTTATACACGCACGCGACACACAAGCTCGCGCGCAAATAAACTTTTTTTCGCTATGTTGCGCACTACTGCAGTCGCGGTGAGCACACACACACACACACACACATATATACGATGCAGCAGCAACAACGAGTAACAACGGACAATCGTACAATCGCGCTTTTATGAGCGCTTACGCTGACAAATTTGCGGCTGTTCGATTGTGTACATATCCTTGATTGTACTCGCGAACTGGCGAGCATATATGCTGTTGCTGCACATGTGCCGCGAGTGTCCGCGTGCAAGCAAGAGCACAGGAGCCGTAAGGGGCCCTGACAAAGTGAAAAGGAATGCTGTTTACTTTTGGAAAGTTATTTGTTCGATATCTCGGGCTGCGTGAGTGCGCAGGCTCGAGACTACCGCACGTGCATGTGCACACTTATTATAATATGCGTAAAAAGAAGCTGCGCGCAGATGCGCGACGTTGCAAGCGGCCTTTACGTTTACGTTGCAACGTCTTATATAGATTGCATATACGCGTATTTGCATCGCGATCGTGGAAGCGAAGTACTACCCAGGCAACTTCAGGGTTTTTTTTGTAACTTTTTGCGTCCACGGTGTCTAATAAGCAGCTCAAACGATCAATCTGTAATGCTACACATTTTCTTCTTCATCAGCATCGACTACTAAAATCAGTCTAATTTCAGAGACAGTTTACGAAGCTCCAACTTTAAGAGAAGACATAACTTAGCGTGCATGCGTTTTTGTCTTTAAAACACATTTTTCGCTTATCCCTGCGCGGATTATGCATCCATTTGGTCTATACCGTGTGCATTTTCTCCGAATAAAAATTAGCCATACGGTCAGCGCAAGGGTACACATAATTGCTCGAGATCGTTAAAATACTCAGTGCTGTACCGATATAATTCATATACGCGAGCTAGCCTAGCTGTAGTCGTAGCTATACCTGCGATATCGCCGCTGCGCTGCCCTCGCTTATACTTATACGGCGATAGCTCGTATATTATATGTATGCACGCGGTGCGCATTCGAGTGAACAATTAATGTTTCGTCGCCGCCTTCGCGTGCAGTTTGTCTCCCTTTTAATGAGCAACCTTCGCTTCTCTTTCTCTACCGCTACAACTGCTATAGTAGTATATATAAAGAGACGATCGAGAGCGAGCGGCTACTTCAATTAGGCTAGCCTATAGGGCACATTCGTTTTGTCTTTGGAGTATATTTATATATAGTTAAGTTTTCTTCTTACCGGCCCAAGCTCAGCGCGTATGGTTTAGATACAGTTTTCAGCTTGGACGCCTTATCTCCGCCCAACGTCGATATATACATTTATAATTGGGATTCGAATGTGGCCGACGTATTTTTTTCTTCTAATTGTCGCGGTCATGATCGCGCGCGGTGGGGCCCCGCACGAGGCTTAGTCATCCAGTGGGGCTTTACGGCGCTGCAGAACTGTGCAGCAGCACGAGCAATAATTGATACGCATTTATCATAATATTGTACACGTACCTAGACGTGCGAGAGAGAAGTGAGCCATGGCGCTCAGGGGCTCGCGAGCTTGTAAAATAACTTCATTAAAGAAATTGGGTCGCGCATTATAATGCAAGGCCTGCTTATATTACAGTCGATACACACACACGTGCTTCAACGATTTTATTATAACATAATCTTGTGTACGTATTGGAGTGTAAATAATATTTCGCGCCCGCTGCCGTGTATACGATCGCGCGTATCATTGTCTTACGCCCCTCTCCACGGCGAGTATATACGAATGAGTCCTGCGCATGTGTGGCTCAGCGGCGATCGGGTAAAATGTTCATTCTCTCTCTCTTTCTCTCATTCTCACTCACTCACAGTTGAGAAATCAAAATATAATGAGTCGCCGTGTACATATAATGCATTTAGCGCTTATGTATATATCCCTAGCTACGTGTGCATGATAAATTTTGCAGCGTCCGTTGCTTATAACGCTGCATTACACGATATATATCCTTATGCAGCTGCTTTGATACTCTCATTCACGCGTCGCGCGCAGCGTTACATTATATACACATACGAAAAGAGTATGTATATGTACGTGCAGAGGCCAAGATGCAATCTTAATTATTCTATCGTGACGTCTGAGCTATAATATGAACTGTCATCTCGACCGCAGAGCCATGTGTATATATGTCTCTTTCTCTCGAGTAGCGACGCGCGCCGAGCGGGCCGAGGCTAAATTTTATTTCTCTTCTCTTCGTCTCTCTCTCTGTTATATACGCCACCCCAAGCTCGGCTCTGGTATATAATTGATCTATTAACATGCAACGACTTTTGCCTTTAGCGCCCCGGCTAAGATATTTAAAATACTCGTATTATATACATATGACCGGGCCGATCGTCGCGCGCGCGTCCATATACATACCTATGGCTTCCAATTAAAAACTTTCTATTCGGTGCTCGGAGCGGCCCGCGGAGTGATTTTTCGCAATCGTTAATGCATCTGGTATCGATTGGCGCGAAATAAATCGTCATAATTTTCCCCGCGTGGATCGCCGAGTGGTATAATAATATATAGAAGGAGCAAACAGACAAAAAAATCGTCAATAATTGAACGCGATCTCAGCCGCGGCACACGGAGCGCATTCCGCATTGGGCACGTGTGTTTGTGTGTGTGTGTGTCGGTGGTAACATATTATAATAGCGATTCTCGCGCCGAGTGTCTTTTCTTGTCCGAAGCGAGGAATACTCGAGAGCAGCGCACGCGTATATAAACATATAAGCAGTTGGCTGCGCTCTACTCGCGGCTCCTTAATGAATGAGGGCCCGTACACTGCCATAGCCGCACAGGCCGAGCTGAGAGCTTTGGATCGGTATATATACAGCTTGCGGTGCGTGCGAACGCGTTATTTATTCCGTGGCCTATGTGTATGTGTGTGTGTACCTGCCCATCAGTTCGCTTCGATCTGCCTATGTATGTGTGTATGTGTGTGAGTACGCGTGAGAGCATGTAAATGCACAAGCCTTTCTTCGATCTATAGTCGCACTTTGCGATGCACTAGGCGCGCTGACAGTGATAAAGACAAGTTTATACGTACGTTTTTCGCGCTTCGGCTCTCGCGACGAGACAACCCCCGTAAACAAAGTCGTGTCTTCGTCGACGAGGATCTCTCTAGCGGGGGGAGCCGAGAGAGCTGAGAATCTGCGAAAAAGCTGTACCGATCGGCGCTACATAGCTTAACTTTGGCGTGTCGTAGAATTAATCATAGTCGTAAGACGCAACGAGTGGAGTATTTCACCTGTGCTCGCGCACCCCCGACGCGGAAATATTTCAGTGGCTCGCTTCTTGCTTTGCGCGCGGTCTTCGATGTTGATAATGTACACACACTCACGTGATGATCCTTGTGCCGTGCAGTGCTCGCGCGAGCCCAAGAAAATGAAGCTGTACACAACCTGCTAGGATCGTCAAAATAATTAACACTTTCTCGATAGAAATAAATACACGTGTACGTCTGTGTGTGTGTACACTTGACTCACACAGGCACGCACATACATACATGGGCACTCATAAGTATAAGAAAAAGTAAAAAAAAAAACAACTGTACGAGCTCGAGCTCGTGCTGCACCGGCACCTCTACATAGCTATAGAGAAAGATCGCGAGAGGGAATCCCTGCACGTCCGCTCGTCATTTACACGCGCGTTGGTCGTTGGCTGCCGCAGCGAGAGAAGCTTTAATTACGCGTCACGCGGACAATCAAATAAATCCGCGCGGGCGCGAAGCTCAGATAAGACTCAAATGTACGTACGCGACGAGTGAAATTTATCGCGTTCGTCCGAGTGCCGCGCGCGCGCAGCAATAACACACGTTGAGAGCCGGCCACTAGCTGCTGCGTGCTATAATAGAGCTCTCTGCGCGATCGAGCCGCGCGGCGCTGGATGACGCGTGATCGATCGCAAAGTCTTCGCCAGACTCGAGCTCTCGTGCGAGGAGAGATGCGCGACGTAATTTTCCGGTGGGTACATGAAACTTTTTTCCATCGAGCAACTGGATAAATTCAGGGTCGAAATGCCTAACACGATTGATATAAACGAATATCGTATTTTAAAAATAAACGTCAACGATTGAATGTTTGATTTTTGTTTCCAGGAGGAGAGCGAGCTCTCGAGCAAGCGGTGGGCCAGTGCGCCACGCCGCTCGGGTAGCCCCTGCATACTGGGGGCACCGGCATCAAGAGAGGTAAGAGACTAAATCTCACTTTAAAGTTCATATTTTTAACCATCGTCGTAATCATCATCATAATCTCTTCGAATTTTCTTTGACCCAACTTCAACCAAGATGTTTTCTTCGTAATTTTACAAGACAATTCTTTACTTATAGCAAGCGATTCTTACTTTTGCTGCATTTACCATATAATAGCGACAATGACGCGCACGCGTTAATTAACCAACCCGCGACTACGACGCGTGATGACACGTACGTTTCGAACGCGACGCGATTTACTACGCGCGAAATTGTCTCTCTACCTTCGAACTACGTGACGCGTTGTTTTTTTTCTTCTCATTTCGTTTTTCCATTATCGCAGCAGAGGACGATTGCGCGCGGCCACGGCCACGTTCGCGTTATAATGTGTTGGCGCTCGTAGCGAGATTTTTCTCAAATCGGGTGAAAGCATGGCTTAATCGGCGTTGTATATACCCGTGTGTGTGTGGCGCACGATCACCGAAGGGCCTATTCATATTGTTTCGTACCGTGGACAACTTCATTAGGCCGATCCGAGAGGGCAAGAACAATCGGAAAAAATAAAACGGCCTGCAGCTCTCAAAAACAATGATATTCGACGGTCGCTTATGCATTCGCCGTTATTTTTTTTTCTCTCTCTACCTCTACCATGCATGCAAACACACACGTATGCTTATGCAGCTTTGTAGGAAAAAGAAGAAGGTAGAAAATGAAAAAAAAAAAGAAAAGAGAAGAAAAACGAAACGCCAGCGTTCTCGAGGCTCTCGATGCATTTTTGTCGAATCAAACGGTTTCCGCGGCAGCGCGAAAGACACAGAAAAAAAGCTGGCACGTTTTTCCCAGCTCACGACATCTCGTGCTCTTTCGCCCCCGTACATCGTTGGTTCACTCCCACACACACACACACACATACAGATACACACAGGCCAGCAGAAACAGCGGCAGAAGGAGCAGCAGTAGCCTGCACTGCCAGCATATAGTCTCTGTGCGCAGCAGCAAAGTCCGGTGCAGCATCAGCAGCGCCACACAAAAATCACCCTCTTTTTGCTCCATCCGTATCTATATGAAGCTAGCGAAAATCGTGATTTCGCACTTCGTTCTGGTGTTTATAGCACGTATATACATGCCGTAGTATTATAAACACATATGCTCACGTACACTTATACTTATAGAGGGACAAACTTGACTCTATTTTTGTTGTTGTCGTTGTTGTTGCTATTGTCGTTGTCATCGTTTTGTTGTTATGTGCTACTCGCCCGAGACGGTAGCATCTTCTTGAATACATTTGTAGAACGTCAAACTCCTTTATATAGAAGAAGGTAAAAAAGAAAATCCACACGCCGCGCACTAGGTTGCGATGCTCTCGATCGCCGCAGCTCGACGTATATAATCTTGTTTATACTATACACAAGGCAACCTGTCGTTCTTTCTCTCCTCTCGGTAATCTGCATACATAAAGCTCTCTGTCCCTCTCTCTTTATGCACTTCTCACTTTTTTTTGTTCGCTTGCATCTTGAGTACATATTACGGCATCGTAGGAGCTGCGCGCGCGCGAAAAGGATATGAGGATGCTCGCCTCGTCTATAAGGTCCGTCTCTCTCTCTCTTCTCTCTTTCTCTTTGCTAATGCTCTGCAGCAGACACGCGCTAGCAGCGCACAGAGCGAAAAGAGAGAGAGAGAAAGATGTGCCGTTATGGGCGCGCGTTTATCGCGCTTCCCACGCCAATTAAACATGACTCATTAACGGCCCTCTCTCTCTCTCTCTCTCTCTCTCCCTTTCTCTCTCTCTCTCTTTCTCCCCTTATCCCCCTTCTTTGCTCCTTTTGTCAGCTTTAGTCGTAGAGAAGAAACGGTTCCAATCGGGATGTGTACGTACTTATAATAGGTACAAAGTATTGAGGATCGTGGCTCGCGGTGGTTTATATGTATCGAAGATGAAAATTATTGCCTCTTGTTTCGTATCGTCGAAGGACTCGTGTCATTGACGTTAATCGCTCGACCTATCGACTCCTTCCATTTTTTTTGTCGTTCTAATTTTCTCCATAAAAATATCGAGCGATTGATATTTTTCGTATACGATTTTTCGAGTCGAGCTTTATTGGATCGATCGACCCGTCGCACTCGAGAGCCTCGCTCGTCGAGATTTTATTATAAACACACGCGTACATAAATTAATGCCGTACACAATAATAATTGAAAGTTTGCAACAACAAAAAAATCCCAATGGGTTTTCATGTACGATGAGAACTACTGTATCCCATCAAAACCTATCTTGTATCGCGAGCAACAGGAGCCCCACGCGCGCTCGAGCGCATGTTATTCTCCTGTAATACGTACCCATATAGGCATCGAGCCTTGAGATTCTCGTCTTCTCACCCATCCCAAGCTAGCTCTTGTATAGCCGGGCTGGCTGCTGTTGCGCCATTTCCCATCGCATCATCCGCGCGCGAGATGCCCACGGGGCAGTCTCTCGAGCTGGCTCGGCGCACAGCTTTATACTCTTCGCGCGCTCATTTTCCGTGTGTCGTGTATATATATATACGTCCTATATGTATGTAGCTGTGTGCAGCCAGACATTAGCGCACATTAAGCCCGAGACTCACACATTCGAGAGCAGACCATCGCGCGCGCGGCCAATTCGATGTATTGAGATATTTTCGTATCCGAGGGTGTTCAGCCGCGCGGCTACTGCGCTGCGTCGTAAGCGTGTGTGTGTGTATACCTTCTTCTATTATATTGCAAGTATATACTCGTGCAGTCGGATTACAAGGATGGGATACTTTTGCGTCGATGCTCGCAGGCTGACTGCACCTCTCGGTTTGTGATTCAGGCTAATCCGTTGGAGAATCGCAAAGTACTAGGCGAATCATCGCGAGAGAGCGAGAGACGAATTTTTATTGTTACTTGCTATAAGGATGCGCGTGTTGTTCTATAAAAGGCTTGCATTTCAGTGTTGGGAAAAACATGTCAAAATCTCAATCAATGAAGCGCGAGTATAAAACGCTCCTAATCGGTGAAAAATTTCTCACGAAACTGTACACAAGTGTATGTAAGTTTTCATCTTTCAGCTTTTGAATGCCGGCGGCTAAGAGGCAGTCGTCCACTTATATGCAGCACGTGTATGCATGTGACTGCTGTAGGCAAGCAAAGAGAGAAAGAAAGAGAGAGAAATATAAAATAGAAGCGAGAAAGGCGTGTCATTGTACGGCGATGATACTTTACCGCGTGCGGGTCCCGCTAAACGTGGGTTGTGTTGCGCTCTGCGCTCGCGAGTCGTGCTTGCCGCGCGGGCAGTGGACACTTCTTCGAGATTCCCCCTTCTGTACGATATAAAAGCGAGGATGTCATCGTTTAAAAACATCATCGATTCTTATCTCTTTTATTTCTCCGTCGAATCGCAATAAATATCGAGTCTGTTTATGTACTTGTTTTGGTAACAATTTTCGGTATTGTTCTGCTAGATTTTTTTTCGTGAGGAGGAAAACTATCGAGTACAAAACATATCTGGTTGTAACGGTACGTGAATTTCGATTTTTGCAATTATTAAGACACACTGGCCAGAGTTTGTTGAGGGGAAAAAGATGGCGTCGAGTCATTTCATCCCACGCATACTTCTCAGATTTTATGTTTCATTCATTCCTAACGTTTCATTGTGTTGTGTAACATGAATAACGAGCTCGAATCAAAAAATTTATTCGAATTGTCAATTATTTATTTCGGTGTGAAACTATGTGGGCTAAACCAGAGTAAAGTGTGATACGCCAAAAGTAGAAATTCAAATAAAGTGAGTATACTAAAAAACAAAACATTGAAAAAAATTGAAAATTTCAGCCTTCTAGGGCCATTTCTCACGGAGCCTCAAAGTTGGATTTTCATTTCTCAAATTTTATTCTTCTTTTTTGAGTGGCCTGAACATCGATCGCATTTAATAATTGTATTCGTTTTTCTGCAGAATCAGTGAAAAGTCAGCACCTTAGTTACTTATAATTTTGTCAATATAATGCACATAAATAATTGTAAACATAAGTAGAGCAAGTTGAAGGGATATCTCAACCTCAATTTATGAGTATTTCCACTACGAGGCGCTATTGTGTTCGTGCAAGAGAAAAATATGTTCCTAACATTTAAATATAGTCCTGCTTACTCATAAGATAATTTACAGAAAATTTTCTGAACCACCTTGCAAAATAATAAAAAAATAAAAAATTTATTTAGTTCGAATCTCTATTCGTTTAAGGAAATATATATTTTTCCTCTTTCACTTGCATGCATCGTCAATTATACTGAAACGACGAAACGCTCGCTATATTTTGAGTCGAGAGACGAAATAACAGAGAGGTGTGTCAGCGTGCACCCTTCAGCCATTCGCTTGACTATTCTGATTTTTATTATGTTCAAGAAGATGAGCGTGATTCATCTTGTCAGGGTTTGGATTTCTCGATGTCTTTGTTTAACGAGCAGAGCGCGGAGAGAAATACGTTATAATACCTGCTCCGCGATGTGGCGCAATTGCTCGAAGGTGCGTTATGGAATTGAAATGTTTTGTCTGCCCGAGAGAGAGCGAGCTGCTCGTGTTATATACGCGCGTTGCAGCAGTAGTATGTAGAACTGGCGTATAGTCGTTGATTTATAACGCGGTTTTCGATGACTTATCGATTTATCTCCAGATATAGCGTATTATATTCCTCGACGATTGACGCTCGAGAAAAATGAAAAGTAATCGATGCTTTTCAAGGAAAATGCGATTTGATGTTGCTCGTCGGCTGTATACGCAGCTTTGACGCAAGATCGAGAGAAAGAGTGCGAAGTGGCCGCACGAGGGTCAAGCCGATCGCACGGGACATCATCATCATCGCGTGGTTGTGTGTCGGGAAATCGCGAACTGGGCCGGTCTACGCTCCAAGCGGGCCGCCGATCTCCGGTTACGCGTGCGAATAGCGCCTCTATGTAACGCGCACGACGCGGATGCATACAATAATAACAAGCGCGCGCGTATT